TAAAATCAAAATAATATCGAAGTGAACACTCCCTGGCCCTCTATTAACCACACTTGTGGTAATAAATAAGCGAGTTATCTCTTGGTGAAGACAGTAATTTTTTGCTGTGCGCACACAATGTTTCCATTAATAAAATATGAACAAAATAATAATCATATACACACTTAATTTATCATATATTCAATGTCTAATCAATCTTGCAGTCTGGTGTGAACCATTTTTCACGGTGTTTATATTTTATTTGACTGGTTATAATTTATAAAAAGTAAACGGCACGCTTTATTATTAATACCCATTTAATGTTATGTTGTATCGTTTCCAATTGTTTTTTGGACTTCACGTAAATAGCGATCAATAAAATTGTATTAATTCTCTCAGATTCCTGAAACGTGTAGGTAGATACTGAGTATACCAAAATACAAAACACTAGTAGGTATTCTAGAATATAATATAAATTATTGTTTTCTGTAATTTATGTACTAGCGTGCGGGTGTCTGTGTTTCAGATTGTGTTTCTATGAGTATGTATGATTGTCAAATATATGTATTGAGCATTAATTATTAATATAATCCAACTTTCTTTGTATTATATTATTGAACATTTTAACGTTATGTAATTGTTGAGCTATAATTATAAATAAAAGTTAATATAAGACAAAAAAATCTAATCCAATAACTTACCTAACTCATTTAAATATATGTTATGTGTGTCTTTACACGAAAAGGTAATTAAACACATATGCGCACGTGATGGGTGTAAATTTTGCGAGATTCCTTTTATAAATTGGCATTAAAGCAATAAGGTATCGTTCATTAATCATTTTATTGAAATAAGCTCGGAAAAGACTTTCTTTTTGCCTTTTTCTGATACAAAGTTCATTAAGCTTTCCTTTAAAAAAATATATTTCAAAGTAAAAGCTTTTTCTTTGGTGTAATAGAACACTCTAACAACTCCTAAAGGATTGAATTATTATTTTAAATAATTTATTTACTTATAATTTTACTCATATTGAAGCAGTGTATGTCAATTATAATTTTAAGAAATTTACATGATATATTAAAAATATTCTTGTTGTAAACGTTTTAACTTTATTCCATAATAAATTTGTTTAATAAAAACTATTTTAGCTTTGTCCTACAAACTTACATAATATCATACGATATTAAAATGTATAATGTATATATTATATTGAATTCATGTATCAAAGTACAATATGTTTTAATATTCACTTTGTACAAATATTTTATGCAGAACTATAGGTACACCTAATATAAATTTATGAAAGCAGTATGATAGTTAATTTTAATTTTACTTGGATATTAATATTAGTAGGTACAGTAATGTCTTTACCATAATTATTTTTGCCAATTATATGTACTTCGCGTATATTATCATGTATATAAAGTGTCCTTAATTAAGGATACTACAATGTTAAATATACATATAATTGCCTTTTATGTAGTGTAATATTGAATGGATACAATTTTTAATGCCCTTTAATTTCTGTTAGAAAATAGGTATTTGGGTAATTTTAATTGATTTATAACATAATAAGATGTAAATACAAATAAATTGATGTTTAATTAACATTTACTGTTAATTAATATTGTTCTACAATAACATTTTATTTTCTGCAGTAACTCAAATAATCAAGGATTACAGGGATTTCAACGAAAGGACCAAATGGACGCCAAATCGAAAGATGACTCCAATATCAGCCTTACACTTCGGCTAATAATGCAAGGAAAGGTAAATATTTTATTTTAGTTTTTTTTCTACATCATATTATTCGTTGTTTTTAAACAATTGTGTGTAGTCTGAAAGTAATCTAGGTAAAAAATAATTAAAACTAATGTAATAATTAATATTGTAATTTTCAATTTCACCTTCCGTTAGTAGACTCGAAGCCTTAAAAAGAATGTAGTAAATAATCCATTTAACGTTATTATTACCTCTACTATCCTGAATAGTCTCATGAGTGAAACCATATTACACTTGTATGTGTTATATGCACGTATAGTTTTAAGTAAATATATAATGTTATACAATTGGTTTAAGTGTCTACATCACGTATTTTTTTGAAAAATTAGAAAATTCACAACAGGGGTGTCTCGCGTCTCTGAATAATGTTAGTCCACTACTCTCCTCATCAAAACTCTCAATTAAAATACTTAAATAAATATACAACTTAATAGTTATTGACTACTCATCCAAAATTCGTTTTTAATGTATCAAAGTATTATATATTAGTATATATATAAGTATATATATTATATATATTTCATACTACAAACGGAAAAGAAATAATCACAAACATGAAAAATCGCGCTGTTATATTGTAGGTTATGAGTCTGTTGTGAATACGTGCATCGTTATTGACTAGATACGTTATTGTAAATAATATGTTAAATTTAAATTCTATAGTAAAATATTGCAAAAAAAAAAATTAATTTAAGTGTAAATTGAATTGTCTGGATCTATTTCTATAAGGATATCTTACAATTTATTTATCTGAGTATGACTTATCAATTTTGAAAATTATATCATTTACCGATTAATTTTAAAATAACAATTCATGACAGAATGACAATAAGTTAATATTGTTTAAAATTGGTACTCCGTAAATATTCCCGTTTTTCGTATTTTTTTTTTT